GTGGCGCGTTGCAGGTTTCTGTTTCTCCTTCAGCTGTCCAGTCTGCGTCAGAGACCTTCCCTCCGTCAGCTATAATGCAGAAGCAGAGCTTTATCGAGAAACTGTCAGCAGCTGTCTGGAAAAACCTTGCTAACCCAGATGCAAACACCGGGACTGAAAAAATTAACTATACGTATCTTCTGACGCGTTCAATTCAGGCCTGCAAGACAAATCCTGAATATATTTATGTTCCTCTGAAAGAAATCGCTCCTGCCGACCTCCCGAAGAGTAAGAAGCTCCTAACGGATGGCTTCGCCTGTGAAGTACGATGTCAGAACGTCTACCTGACCACCGGTTACGCCGGCAGCAAAAATGGGTCGCGGGACCGAGCCGCAGAGCTGGCAGTCAGGCTGCTGCAGAAGTCTGTAGAAGTCAGGGTCGTTCAGCGCAAGTTCAGACACACCTACCACGAAGACCTGGTGGTGTGCGAGGCAGGCGTGAACCGCACGGATTTCCCTCCGGCTCTCAAACCTCACGAGGAGTTTGTGGTGGCCAACAGGGACTGCGTCCCCATGCAGCCTGGTTCTGAGTCTGTGAAAAATACCCCCAACACCAGCAAACACTGGACTAGTTTTGTCCTCACGGAGAACGCTAGCGATTCGATAGGAATCCTTAACAATTCAGCCTCGTATAATAAAATGTCTGTTGAGTATAAATATGACTTAATGCCCAACCGCATGTGGCGCTGTCGAGTGTATCTACAAGATCACTGCCTAGCTGAGGGATTCGGTACCAAGAAGACCAGCAAGCACGCGGCAGCCGACGAGGCCTTGAAGATTTTGCAGAAGACACAATCAAATGTAACTGCCATCAAAGTGACGCAGGTTCAGAAAGTGGGCTGCTCCTCGCGGGGTTCCGGAAGGAAGAAGGACCTGAAGGACCTGGTGGTTTACGAGAACTCAGATAACCCGGTGTGCACGCTGAACGACACCGCGCAGTTCAACAAGATGACAGTAGAGTACGTCTTTGAAAGGATGACTGGCATGCGATGGAAGTGCAAGGTGCTGCTCGAAAACGAATTCATCGCGGAAGCAGTTGGAGTGAAGAAATCTGTCAAGCATGAGGCAGCAGAGGAAGCCGTGAAAATCCTCAAAAAGACTCAGCCGACTGTTGTTAATAACCTGAAGAAAGGCACAATTGAAGACGTCATCTCTAGAAACGAGATTCAGGGTCGGTCAGCAGAAGAGGCATTCAAGCAGAAGATCAAAGAAGACAACATTGGGAATCAAATTTTAAGAAAGATGGGCTGGACAGGTGGTGGCCTAGGGAAAGACGGTGAAGGAATCAGAGAGCCTATTTCAGTGAAGGAGCAGTTTAAAAGGGAAGGACTGGGGCTTGATGTGGAAAGGGTAAATAAAATCGCTAAAAGAGACATCGAACAGATCATTCGAAACTATGCACGCTCAGAAAGTCACGTTGACTTGACGTTCTCTACAGAACTGACGAACGACGAGCGGAAGCAGATACATCAGATTGCCCAAAAATACGGTCTTAAGAGTAAATCTCACGGGCAGGGCCACGACAGGTACTTGGTGGTAAGCAGAAAGCGGCGCAAGGAGGATCTCATAGACCAGCTGAAGCAAGAAGGCCAGGTTGGGCATTACGAGCTGATCATGCCTCAGGCAAACTGAGGTTAGGTGTCCGACTTCACTGGTGGGAGTAGCGATGAACTGAAACTTCCTAGACACCCGATGAAAGAAAGATGCTGCATTTTCTTGTTGCGGGATATGTTAACATTGAAATCTTTTACCTTGCTCATACAATTTCGGAAATGTTACTAGTCAATTAGGACTGACCGAGTTCTGTTCAAGTGTATTAGCACAGCCCCAAACCAGTAGTGCTATTACTGTATGTCTTTGATATTACTTGCTCCCTCACATTTTAATAGTTTTGTAATAGCAAAAACACACGTCCAACCAGAAGGAATTTGACACCATTTAAAATTATAGTTTCCTTATTCTTTTTGTCTGAGAAAGGAAAAGGAAAAAAAAAAAACTTTTTTTTTTTTTTTTACAACAACAAAAATTAATGAAAAGCAAAGGAAATGCAGTTTGGAGGAATAAACCTGTATGTAAAGTTGGTATTAATGACAATAAAAATACAGCTTTATTTCTGGAAAAAAAAACAACCACAAGATTTGTCACGTGTTGTGTTGGGGAAAAAAAAAAGTGTGAAAACTGGATTTATTCTTGAGAAACATATCTATGGTACAGTCATATTTGTCTCTGCTGTGTATGTATGTAGAGGTGTCCTTAACCAGCTTACAGTTCTGTTCACAGGTTCCTACCTTGTGTCTCCCATACTGAAAGTCACTGAAAGCACCTTAGCCGTGAGTGTGTTGAACGTAGGTAATTCCAGTGGATTTTTACTTTGCAGCACTGCTTGACACATGTGCAAATGCCACGGTAATGTGTGAAATACAAACCGGGTGGTAAATGCAGAGCCCACGCGTCAGAGATGCTCATGGGGACTGTTGCATAACTTATTTTTTTACTTTGAATATAAGCTCTTTAATCCTGAGCAAAACCAATTCTGTGCCTAATCATTTCTCTGCTCGCTTAATTTAATGTACCTGTGCTTGTGTATGTTGAGGGCAGTTCTTGAGTAAACTGCGTGGTGCTGCTCAGAGGTGTGTGAGCGCAGCATCTCGCCGGGAGTGTGGAGCACTCCTCTCCTTGCCTGGGGAGCAGGCTGCAGCGCTGCACCACGCACGGAGCCTCCAGCCTCAGAGGAATGCCTGCTTCATGCCTGGAGATGTGGAGGTCGGGGATTGACCTTGGAAAAGCCAAGTGTAAGATTTGCTCAGAGATGCTGTTCATTGTTTTTTTCTGTGACCAGTGGGGATGGCTGATGGTTCTGTAGCACAAATACAATCGTAATGAAGTATTTCTTCACCTGTTCGCCTGATGGTTTATGTCCCAGTTACAGCTTTTGGTTTCCTGCTTCCCGTATTTGCCTCTTCATCTCTTCGCATTGTCCTACATCTTTTTTCCACCTCTTACACTGTTGTTTTTTTTTTTTAATACTCTTGGCACTGAGGAGAGGGTGACTGACCCCTGCTGATGAAACAGAAGAGCCAGGAGGTGACGTGCAGCTAGAGACATTTTCATCGTAGCAGTGTGAAAAGGAAGAGGTTGCCCTGGAAGAATTCCAGTTCCAGGTAAGCATCTCCTCCTGTCTTTAACTGGGTGGCTTCAGCTTCTGTTAGCTTGGGCTTCTGAAGTAAGATGCTGTTTTTGAAGAAAAATAATCTGGTAAAAAAAATCTGAAAGGGTCCTCTTTATTTGTGCACTGCTCCCTCTCCTTCTGAATTCTGCTCCCGGGGAGGCTGGGCTATAGCAGATGGCAGTGTAGGAGTGTGGAAGAAGCCTGGTACTTCCTGGGCAGATATTCCTGCAAGCAGGAGTGCGGCTCCCCCTCCCTAACTCAGTTATCAGCAGGTCTTAAAGCTTGGTGGCACCAGGCAGGGTGGTGAGAGCACCAGTGCGGTATTGGGGCTGAAAAATGTCTTTTTGCTGAGCAGTAGGGGGCAGAGGATAACTGTAATGGTACCGTAACAGTTATTGAGCAACACAGAGTCTGCAAGGTGTTGGTGGTGGTTTTATTCTCTCCTGGGTAGCACCCTGGGCTTTTAGGGCCCGAAGTCTTTGCCCAGTGGGGTAGTGCTGTGCGGGCCCTTTCTGTTGCCTTCCTGCTTGCTGCTGGACGTTTGGCCAGCTGGGCATCAGCTGTTGGCAGTGAAGAACTGCTGCCTGCTCCAGCTCCTGTTCGTGCAGCTTGCTGCAGCCAGCACTGCGTGGTTTAATGTTGAGTTAGTGGATGAAGGACTGGCATTGTAAAGGAGTAAAGGTGAGGTTCTTGCACCTCTGTGCTCATGTTTCTGGCTGCCTTAGAGTCTATGCTTTTATTTTAGTGACTAGCAAGACAAACACAAAAATGGAAGGACTGCTATGAGATCAGAATGACTTGGGCCATTCAGAAAAGCAGAATGAGCTACAGATGGTACTGAGGAAATGGCTATGAGCCTTCATATGCCTTTTGGTTGGCTTTGGGCTTTGCTGGCAGTGGGGCTGTTTTGCACTGGTGTAATTTGGTGTAACCAGATGCTCGTTCTTGACTGGCTTGGACTTGGGCAAGTTGTGCACAGGGAATGCTAAAGAAACTAATTGAGGCAGACTCACTGTGTCTGTAAGAGCCTATCGGGTCTAGTGCATGGAGTTGAATCCTCTCCCCTACCTCTCATAGTTTTTTTTTTTTGTGGCAGATAAAGCTGCTGGTTCAAGGGTCCAGAAAAGCTACTGTCCTTTAGGAACAGTAGTAAGGATCGCTGAGTAGGACTTCAGTGGTGAAAAGCTGTGCTGTGTAAGACAAAAGGCCTTTTCCAGGGGAGAAGTGTTAGCACAGAAGCGTTGGCACAGGAGAAGAGGTGTAAAGCCTGGTATCTCTTGAAGAAGCTGGCAGCTTCTGTCTTACTGGTGGAGTTAAGGCACAGGAGCGGCTTGTGTTTTATGTCATTTTGAATCCTATTCTCTCCTAGACAGGCATGAAGCAGAAATATGATTCCCCTAACAATTAGTTATGGAAGGTTTTAAGTTGCTGTTAATAACTTATGATAAGTTTGTTTTTGTGGGTTTTTGGTGTTGTTTTTTTAACAGCTTACTACTAATAGGAATGGAAGGGGCCTGAGCCTTCTGTGTTTTTCTTGATAGGATTTGTCTGTTTTTTCATTTCTCTGCTCGCTAGTTGATCCTGACCTGTCTTTCCTCCTTTGTTCTCCAGGCCTCCTTGCTGGAAGGGCTTATTTTATTTTCTTTGGAAGGTGAACATAGAGCTTGGCCTGAGCAGAACAGCTCCTGCCCAAAAGGTAAGCAAGTATTTTATAGTCTGGGTTGTAGAAGTCAACAGCCTTCTACCTGACACTTCCTATCATCCCAGGTAAAATAATCACAGTTGTACACCTCTTGCCTATTTATACAATAAGCATTAAGGTTACACTTTTATTTACAAGTTTTGAAAAATGTACAGTTTCTTACATGGGTTACTTGTGCAAAGTTATACTTCTCAACTAACAGACCAATGTGCACACAAAAGACACTGGAACAGTGGACAACACAACTGGAAGGTTTCATCCCACACTGCTGCTTAAGGTACTGTATCAAAATGTACTAACTTAGCCTTACAGAAAAGTGAGTCTGGACTTAGAACTGTTTTTTTCAGAGTTGAAAAAAATACTTTCATAAAATGGAAGGAAAACTAACTCAAGCATGCAGCAGTAGCTCACGTAAACCACACAATCAACAAAGAACAGGAACTGCAGAGACTACCCCATACTTTATTCAAACTTTCCACAAGGCAAAGTTGGATCCCAAAGAACTTATCTTTCTCAGATAAAGATGAGGGGAAGGAGAAAGACACTGAAAGAGTAACTCCACCTCTGAAACACTTCAGGCTTTACCTCTTCCTGAATTGGGAAAGTCTCTCAATCGGAATACCACAGCTCCACCTGCTTTTGTCCAGTAATGTCAGCAACAAGACTATAGAAACTTATTTAAGCAGTCTCTATAGGCATGTCCTTTAACACACTATTTAAAATAAAAAAACAGGGTTTGTTTCTCACCCTCAGCAAAGATGAAAGTACCACAACTGTAGTGATTTATGTATACCTGTACATAAATCCTGCATGGGAGGTGCAGAAGTGACTAGCATTCCATGGTCTTACTAATTGAATGGCAATTGGTTTAGCTGTTTGTTTTTTTTTTCATAAGTAAGGAGTTGATAAACCAATACAAATGGGAAACAAGGTTATTTCTTCACTCAGTACTTACAAATGCAGTGGGGTCTAAACCAATGGTAAATGACCAGCCTGGACAGATCAGCACTTTAGTAATATCAGTTAAAAAATGTGTATGTATATAAACATCCCTTTTATCAAGCTACACATAAGCATCACTGTGTATAACACAATTACAATTAAAAGCTTAGTGTACACTACAGAAATGCACAATACTGCCCTAAGACTGGAGAGGGACCACAGAAAATGAATTCAGCATCAGTAATTCTTTTGCAAGTAACCCAAGTACAGTACATTTGACTTCAAAGTGGGTGCTTTCTGATGTCCAAGGAGAAGAAGCTTCAGCAAGGGAGGGTGGCAACAGCACAACAGCTATTCTGCTTTCAAAGTAAATGCAGTGATGCTAGGAGGAAGAAGATGACTCAGACACTTCATGTATTTTCCTCATCACCAGAGTGTTCATTTGCATCATCCTGGGTCAACAATCACGCCAACTCTGTTCTACTATTGCAGAAACCCGTTTTTCATATTCCCGCTTATTCTCTTGGTATAGCTGAGCTGCCTGGCTGTTTGCTGGACTGTTAGGATTTGGCTCATCCAATAGAGACTGTACAAAAAGAAAAAGACTCTTAGACACATGACAGCACGTAGGGTTTCAGCAACATATTCATTAAGCTATCCGTAGTTCTAGTAGGAGCACAGAAGTTCAGCTAGCTGTAGGTGAGATACATTGCATTATTCCAGTTGGACATTATTATAAGCTCTTTCTTTACAATGCAGCAGTACCCGAGCAGTGGAATCACTGGATGTACCCCTGCAGTGACCACTGTGTGCCAGTAAATCTAGAATTTACACGTGGTAAGCATTCATACTTTAACAAACATCAACACGTAGCTGCTGTACTGGCTATCAGGAACCAAAACACTTTTCCTGAGCTTTTTATTTTTTTATTGTCTAAGCATCCTAATTTCATTCTGCCTTTTCATGCAGCATTCTTTTACCTGTATGGATGTTAAGATGGAGGAGACATCGTAAGTAGGACTCCAACGATTCTGAAGAATATCCAGACATATACTACCATCTGCATAGACTAGAAAAGGTTCAAGAAGAATGGCTTAAAACAGAAGTTGTACAGCTACTCAATTTTTCTTAGTATTGCCTGATCCTAAAAAATCTAGGTACTGACAAACAGTACAGAAACCAGTAGTGTTTGAGACTTAAATCGACCAGACAAGCCTGCATGTAGGAAGAGATGAAGCTTGTCACTGGCAGCTGCCTCAAACCCTGCTCATTCTTCAATAGCAAGCTTCTCTGTGACACTGCAACCACCGCTACAGAAAGGATGAAAACCATGAAGAGATTTAAGGCAAAGAATTTATGTAACTCACATGGGAACCAAATCAAGACCACTTCTTTGAAGAGCAATTTACAGAAGAGGTTCCTCTGGAAAGTACCTACAGCAGTCAGTGCCTGGTCACCTCTCATGACAGCTTCTAAAGAACCTTCCCTTGGTGCACTTAGACCACACATGCTTAACTTGCTACATTTGAAAGTTTCAGGTACTTCTTCATGAAGCTAGTATTTGTTCAGAGACAAGGAACCAACCTTCTAATTACCAAGGGAGGGGCTTAATTAAGTGATCTTACTATTACCGGATTACTGGCTATGGTTGGAAACTAGTACTGCATCTCAAGGTATAGCATGCATACAGGCAGCCATTTCTGGAAAAATAAGTGGTACCAGACAACTGCATTCAGGTCATTTTGATATGCGTGCAGTATGTATAGACAAAAGTTGAAGGCACCTGCTATTTAGGTACAAAGTATTCTGTTGGATTTAACAGATGGTTGAGAGAACAGACTCAAAAATACTGTGCTGTGTCACCTGAAAGCACAGAGACTGCTCTTACTGCACCCTTAGTCTCAAGCCTGAGCTCTGCTCACACACACAGCCCTCATCAAAACCCCACAGAACCACACTGGAATGGTGCTCGCTTATTAAGTAGTCCCTTTCTACAGCACTTAGAGAAAGCTGTAATTAAAATATGTAGATATTGTGTAAGTACTTACCATTTGGATGGAACATTTTAGAGACAAATCTAACAGTAGGTGGTTTGTTAGGATATTCCTCTGTGAATTCTATTGTAAGTTTGAAAGTTCCTGCAGGTGAAAGAGAGACAGGTAACCTTTAGTCAGAATGAATTTACACAAGGGATGAACAAGTACCATTCCTCCGTAAGCACACACCAATACAACTGTAATTGTACATATATGCTGGACGAAAATTACAGCTTGCTCAGTCCTACAGTGCTTCTTCTCTCTGCAAAGAGTTCCTCCCTAACTTACTGCTAAAAAGGGCTTAAATTTCAAGGAAATATATGTATTTTTTAAATCAACGACTGCTCCCATCATGAGATCATTTTGTAAAAAAGCAGTATTGCAAGCAACATTCATGTTGGAAATTTTAAAAACCACAATCTGATCATCTACTTCGTGTTCAACCGTCGCCTTTTGAGCACGGTTCATTAAGAGGGGTCAGAAAACTGTATAATTAAGTCCCAATCCAACTGATCTAACAGCCTGCATCAATGTAAGTTGTTTTAGCCCTTCTCCTCAGGCTACACTAATCAAAAAATCAGAAGTCTGTCAACTAACCTGCCTGGCTGTGGCATCAAGGGAGCAGGCACTGCTAGCGAGTCCCATCGGTAACCAGGGCCCTCCACCCTTCCCGTACCATCATGTCAGACCACCCAAGCCTGGCTATGTTGTGTGAGAAATACCTGGGGCATCCCTGTACCACCGCATAGCTCTCCTGCAGGAGGAATGCACCTTACAGGAACAGCTATAACACACTGCCACAGCAGATCTACCACTTCTTTTTTCTCCCCCTTAAAGATTTCAACCTCTTTTCCTTTTTTCCCCAATCAGTAAGGGTCTGTAGTATTTCCCAGGGGCTCCTTCCTTTGTAAGGACAAAAACCACAGCATTGAGTTACAAGAAATGAAGGTCACTGCTTTGACATTCCCGTTTGCATATGAAGACAGAGTACAGATGCTTCAGAGCTTTCTGTACAGCAGTGGAAAGTCTCTGTCCTAAAAATAAGTTTTTGCATGTTTGTTTTTTATTAGCAGCCTACCAACATGGGAGCACAGGGATAGCAGCATACAATCTCCCTGTAAAACAACTAGAACAGCAGTTTTCTGAACAGCAGAAGTCCTAAGTAAGTGCGAGTCTGCAGTGGGGCTTTATAGTTTTAGTCCTGCTCATCCAGAGGCAAAGAAGCAGATTTGAGATCAGCTTCAGCTGATCAGCTTTGAAATCAAACCCTGGAAAGACTGCAACAACTTCGCTAGCTGCAAACATCTTCCCAGGACTACCTGTCCTTCCCAACACAGTGACAGTCCCAGGCAATGCGAGCACTTTAGATTCAAGTACTGGGAGAACTCCCAGCGCTCTCCATCCCAGCTCCAGCTCTCAGTAGCCTCTTTATGCGCTACTAAAGCAGGCACTTCTGTGGGAGAGTGACTAAGCAAGCAGTAGGCTGGAGAAAACCATCAGATAATAGAGTTCAACAAGCACACTCCAGAAAATGTTATTTTAGAACACTGACTGAAGTGGGAGCAGAGGGGACAGATCAGATAGCCAAAGAAGAGTATTGAGGGCAGCCTGCTCTCGGAATCCATTTAAAGCTACTAAAAGAAAGGGAAGCCACCTGTCCCAGCAGGGGCACGACAGCATTACTTTTACACAAACCTGAGCTAGACAGCTTCCAGCTGGCACATTTCCCCACTCAGATTCTCAAGGCAAGACCCAGAGAAGCAGTGGCTCTGTAGAAGAGCCCCCATGTCATGCACTGAAATCCACATTCCTTAGGTGAGGAACAAGCCATATGGAGGGCCAACGGGCTGCTGTCTGTTCTAGCTGCCTGCCTGATGGCAGAGAGGCAGGGCACTACGTTAGCTGTTACTGAACTCTCCTCTCAAGCCAGGAACCCCGCACTAACCACAACATCATAATTCAGTTTCAGAGGAACAGGACTGAAGGACTGGGGAAACCTGGGCTTCCATCAGTGGCAGCATTACCACATTACATGCCACAAGCACAGAGATACTGGGAAACACGGTGAAGGGTAGGATAAACGTCCCTGAGGTCCTACTGTAGACACCTGCAATTGAATCCTCTTAAACCAGAAGATGGAAGGTAGGCTGCTGATCTAAATTAGTAGTTGCTCCAAGGCCGAGTCAGCCTGCACACCAAGATGTGAAAACACCCTCTGAAGTCTGGGGGTGGAGGGAACGGAGGGCTGTTGGCAGCATTCTTCCGCACAGCAAGCAAGCAGATGTGCTCGAGCCTAGGGATTTCAGTTCAGACAAAGCTACAAAGCCTCAGAAGCTGACAGTGGAGAAGGGCCTCACCACAGTGAGAATGAAGAACTGTAATTCCCACACTGTTGAGATTATTACACCTCCAGTACAACTAAATCTTTTCACAATCTACTTTCACAAGAATTAAGGTATCTGAAGTCCAACAGTGTCACTGGGGACTGACAGAGACTGAACACGAGAACACGGAGTGACTTCTGAAGAACACTGCCTGGCAAGAGGCTTCCCAAGAAGGGTTACGGAACCCCAGCAGGGGTCTGAACAAAGAACAGCTCAATGCTGTTAGATGAAAGGTTCCTTGGTTTCACCTACATTAAGCTTAACCAGATCCAAACTGTGCTGCCATGAGTCCTGTCACCGGAGGGGAAAGCACAGCACCGGCACCCCTAGCCCCGTATCTCCAGGCTGCACTCAGCCCGTGGTTATCTGGCACGATGTAAGGTATGTCCCAGCGAGACAGAGATAAGCATACCCCACAACACAATGCATTATCTGTTTTCCTGAGCGTGCACTGTGAAAAACACACACTCTGCTACAAAGAGAGCAATCCATCACGCACCAGGACTGTGTAATTAGATCAACCAAAGCAGGAGGACAGCAGAGGCAGACTCAAGCAGTCGTTTGAACTTCAGGCTGCTGCGAGCACAAGGTGCCCCAAGTATTCAAGATAAAGGCACAACAGTGCCACAAAGGAAAGCACAGACACAATCAAAACGTCAGGGGTCTCTGAAGCAGTCTCCAGCTACATGGAAATATATGGAAAACAGCCCTCACAGCACCTGTTAACCTCACACTGCGCCAGAAGAGCCTGAACACGGAAACAACCTGCATTTCACCACGCTGCAAGGAGAGGGCTTCCTGCCTCCAAAGAGCAGAGCACCGAAAGCCTAGGCAGCTCCGGCAACCCTTCACTGAAGTTTAAAGGAGCCCTTAATCCCAAGTTTTTGAGATAATAAAATACATTTATTTGATCTACCTATTCTACAGTCAGTGTTACAGAATATTCAAGTTCCAAACATTAGTCTTCTAGCAGAGCTACTCTGCCAAATTCCTTAACTAATCCCTTGAAAAAAAAGTAACTGCCTGAAGTGTTTAAAATACACAAAAACTTCACAGAAAACATCTGGCATTTGCAGGCATACCTACAGGTGCTACCTCCAAGGATAAACAGAGACAAAGTAGTTAGCCAAGACCAACGTAACAGTTACGGAGTTTTTCTTATACTTTTGCCATGAGTCACTGAGATCTAGGATTAATTATAGCCTGCACTGAAAGTATCTTAAAAAATGCATCACTGATTTCAGTTGGACGGCATTTCATGTCTAACAAGTTTTCACAGAGCTGTTGAAGGATTCACCATAACCCCAAACAGGCACTAGCTGGACACAGCTGTGCTACAAGGACCCATTTAGCCAGCTTTAGAAGTTAAGAAGCCCTTTTAATCTTCAACCCCAAACGACACCCGTTGTAGTGCAGTGAAGTAGATGTCAAGAACAAAAAAGAATTCTGCTCTGGACTTCCTCAAACATCCGACCTGTTTCCTTAAGCAGCTGACTCACATGGGGATTTGTGAAGCACTTTCGGTATCAGAAAAACAAAAACAAAAATGGAATTCAAATAACTTGGAATGACAGCACTTCTGCCCCAGGTTTGACATCGCTCCAAACAGCAGGATCCCCAAAAACACCAGCTGGGACTCAACAGAAACCTTAATAAGGCTAAGTTAGACCCCAGATCCCCATGTTTAGCAATCAGAAACAAGCCCTGATGTGTTTTTTTTGCGTGTTTCTGTAATCCAGCCTAGCGACAGACCTCACCCCTCCTCAGGTCAAGGAAGAAAGCCGGGTTTGGTGGGCGCTGGGTACGGGGGCATGCAGGCGGCCACCTGCCCTCATCCCTCCCGTGCCCCCCGGCCACCACCTGTTGCCGAGCCCCCCCCCCAAGCCCCGGGGCAGGACGCAGCCCCCCGGGGCAGCACGGAGCCCCCCGGCCTCACTCACCGTCCTCGAAGGGGGTCCCCTCGGGCCTGCGGGAGGGAAGCAGAGCACAGCGTTACCGCGGGCGGACCGGCCCCGGGGGGAGGGAGGGGGGGGAGCCCCGCCGCCGCCCCCGGCCCCACTCACCCGAAGATGACGGCGTTCCACACCATGATGTTGTTCTCGGAAGGGGCCCCGCTGACGCCGGCCGGGGGGTCCTCCTGCAGCCTGCGGGCACAGCCGGGCCTCAGCGCCGGGTCCGCGCCCCCCCCCCCCCCCCCCACCCCCCGCTGTCCCCTCAGAGCCGCCCCCGTCCCCTCCGCTCCCCCCCGCTCCTCCCCCGCCCCTACGCACTCGGCGTAGCCCCGGCAGGTAGCCGCCCGCCGCTGCGCAAACGGCGTAACCCGCAGGCGGGCGGCGCGGCCCGGCGCTACGCAATCTGCGGAGCGCGCCCTGCCCCGCCGCCATGTTGCGCTGCCCCCTCCTCCGCCGCCGGCCGGGCGCGGCGCCCCTCGGCCTCCACAACCCCCCCCCCCTCCCCTTCCCCGCGCCGCCGCCGCCGCCCCCGCTACCTCTTGAAGTCCCGCATGAGGCGCCGACGGGCCGGGGTAGACATGGCGGCCGCCCCTTACGAATCGCTCATACACGGCCGCGGGCAGCGCGGGGCGCCCAGCAGCGGGAGGCTCGGGCTGAGGCGGCGGCGGCCGGGAACGATCGCGGCCGCTACCACTGCGGGGGGGAAAACGGGGGGGGAGGGGGGCGCTGAGCGTGGGCTGCGCCGAGCGCTGCGCTGCCGCCGGGCGCTCCCGGCACGTACCAAGCGCCGCGGGGGGGGGGGGCGGGGGGGAGAGAGAGAGAGGGGGAGGAGCCGGATGCTGCGGGGGCGCCGCGCGGTGGCCACGCCCCCCCCGTGAGGTGACCCCGCCCCCCCTCTCGCTGAGGCGGCCCCGCCCCCGGCGCCATGCCGAAGGTGGTGTCCCGCTCCGTGGTGTGCTCCGACACCCGCGACCGCGAGGAGTACGACGATGGCGAGAAACCGCTGCACGTCTACTACTGCCTGTGCGGGCAGATGGTGCTCGTGCTGGGTGAGCGGGGGGGGCGGGCAGGGGGCGGGCGGGGAGCCCCCTAACGACCCCCCCTGACGGCTCGGTGCCGCAGACTGCCAGCTGGAGAAGCTGCCCATGAGGCCGCGGGACCGCGCCCGGGTGATGGACGCCGCCAAACACGCGCACAAGTTCTGCAACGCCGAGGAGGAGGAGAGCGTCTTCCTGCGCAGGTGGGGGGCCGGGGGCCGGGGGGCTGCCGGGGGGCTGCGGGGCGCCCCGCCAGCCGCTCAGCCCCCTCTGTGCCCCCAGGCCCGAAGGCATAGAGCGGCAGTTCAGGAAGAAGTGCGGCAAGTACGAGATTCTTCACCCTTACAGTACTCCTCAACCCTTAATTTTTGCTCCTGCGTGGCGGTGGCTTCCCCTTAGCGTTTTTCACACTGCTAGGTAGCTATAGGTAGGTAGTATATAGGTAGGTAGTATAGCTGTACTAGGTAGTATAGGAGGCCAGAACGCGCGTTTTCTCGCACACAGATGTGTTTCTGTTCCAGGTGTGGACTGCTGCTCTTCTATCAACACCAGCAGAAGAACGCTCCGGTGACGTTCATCGTTGATGGTGCTGTGGTCAAATTTGGGCAGGGCTTTGGGAAAACAAACATCTATACGCAGAAGCAAGAACCTCCCAAAAAGGTAACCTGCTTTAGAGCAGTAAAAAGGCTGTCTGGGCTTTTCAAAGAGGTGTGAGTAAAATCAAATAACAGGGGAGGAAAGAAAAAAAAGAGGAAGAGAAGGACCTGTAAACAGTGACTCAGTTGTGCATCTTCTCCCTGTCTGTTTGCCTTAAGTTCATGATGCAAGAGGTCGCTGGAGCTTGGAGTCCTAGCACTAAAAAGCAAAACAAATTTGGCAGTCTGGACATTGCCTTGTTTTGGGGCTCAGTTACCAGAAAGTTTCCATTTGTAAATAGATGAGGCTGGTAATCTGAATGGTGATTCTCAAAATCTGGCTAATCCACTGCGTGTCAGTGAGTTTGCCTCTGATGATGACAGCTCTAAGCTCAGAAATCGTTGGGGATACTTCTGTGCCAAATACAGAGTTCAGGAAATCTTTATGACTTGTATGAGCAGTCTTAAAAGCTTTGGAGGAGAAACAGCCCCTAGTGGCACAACTCTTCCCGGGTTTAACAAAATACTTCGCTTCTTACCTAGGTGATGATGACCAAACGGACCAAAGACATGGGCAAGTTCAGTTCTGTCACGGTCTCCACAATTGATGAAGAGGAGGAAGAGATCGAAGCAGTGAGTTTTCTCTGCCCTTGGTGGCAGTCCTATGGGCTGGGCAGTTGTCCCAGCTGGCCACTGATCAGAGCCGCCGGTCATCTCACCGCTGGGATGAGATGTTGATGCTTTAGGGTTTGCTGTTGCAATGGGGCGCTCTGTGTGTTGCAGAGGGAGATTGCAGATTCCTACGCGCAGAACGCAAAAGTGATCGAGAAACAGCTGGAGCGGAAGGGAATGAGCAAAAGAAGGCTACAGGAGTTGGTGAGTGCTTCGTACAGAGTTGAACACAAGTCTCTGAGATCTGTTAGCTTTGCACACAAGCTATCTGGCTGGTCAGACTATGAGTGTAGAGACTGTATGGCACAGTCATGTGTAACAAGTAGCTTTGGGAGGACCATTTTTCCTTTACAGGTTGTGTAGAGATATTTTTTACCCCTCTTGAACGTAAAATCGTATGCAATTACCTACAGAGCTAACTGAAGAGCAGACAGCAGAGATTTTGCAGGGAGACCTCCCATGGCCTGTTAGACAAGGAGCATGGAAGCAGGGCACCATGCTGAAGCTTTGTCACTCAGGGCACCCTTAATGCTGTGCTCTCAAGCCTGCTCGACAGAGCAGGTCTCTGCCACGAGGTATCAGGGCAAACTAACGCGGTAGTGGAGGACGTGCCAGCTCAGCTGCTGCCTTCTTCAAGAGTGCCTTGAAGAATTAACAGCAAGAACGTTACAGCTGATCTTACCTGCTGTAATGGGATAGTGGGAGGATGGGAGGGGGGGGAGAAAAACATGCAGCATCCACCTTAGGATAGAAGGTGTGAAATTGTGTTGTGTGCAGTTACTTTGGGGCTTTTTATAACTTGAAAGGTGGTGCTCCCTTCTGGTACCACAGGGGAGGAGAGGCAGAAAAAGGCTTGAACTACTCTGGCTTCTGTATGAGAGGCTTGTAGTGGTCAGATAAGAAGGGCAGACTTCACTGGAGCATTGAAAGGAAACGTTTCCAGACATTATTTAATTGTGTCATTTTTCTTCAGGCTGAGCTGGAAGCCAAGAAAGCGAAGATGAAAGGAACTCTGATTGATAACCAGTTCAAATAAAGCACTCTACGTCTGCTCTGTATTTGGAGACAGGTGAAAACTACCAGGAACTTCAGCGGGTTTGTTCCCAAAGACCTTGTTCAAGAGCAGTGTGCTGCAGCCAGCTTGGAGGATGAGTACCCCTCTGGTGTAGGCGATGCTCTCCTGCCAATTTTATTAACTCAAATAGCACTGGGGACTTTGCTGAAACTGCTTTTCTGCACAATGGCAAGCAGTTCCAGCCAGAATATTTAGTTTTCAGAAAATCTTTGCTCGATGCCTTTGTGAGTTCAGTGCACCTTTACATATCTTTTTTATTTTGAGAATTTTCAAATGTGTAAGACACCCATAAATGTACTGGAAGGTAGGACAATTGTACAACAAAGAGATCATTACAAAAGTAAGCTATGTTCTTGTTGTTCATTTGGGTATTTTTAAAATGTGTTCAAAACCTGCAGCATCCTCAGAGAGGTGCTATTTCAACACAGGTTAGAATGACTCTGATGCAAGGTTTGGGGATCAGGCTGCTTCTCACCCTGAGCAGCAGAGAGGCTGTCACAGGCAGTCAGCGCAAGCTTGGCTGGAGGTCTTAGTCCCTGGTGAACATTGGAAAGCTGCAGTTGTACAGAATTACACTGCCCATTATGAGAACATGAAGTCAACCCTATTTTAAGCTACTGAAAACAAAACCTGCCTGGTATTACACCACTAACGAGTACAAATATATAGCTGGAAACTACTGCGATGATTGCTGATCGTTTAAGGTAGAATACAGTTGCATCTCTGAATGTTCTGCAAAACAGTAGTTGCAGGTGTAAAACACAAAGAAAACTTGTGAATGCATTGACCATTAAGGACTTGGACAAAGACAACAGTAAGAATCTGTATAAAATGCATTGTTTGGGAAATACTACTTTGTATACATCACATGATGTAACTACACTTCACCCTGTGTCATCCCCATGTCAGTGTTGCTCTATATGGGATTAAATGTCATGTTATGGATTTGAACTAAAATACTTCTAGTGCGTCCTTACTCTTCTGGGTATGATAATGACCTGTGAACAGTGTGTACGATACTTCATTTCTCACAGTTCTTATGAAGGATTTCCTATAATCAGTATACATTTTCCATCTGCCTTTATAACCTTAACTGGGAAATGGGTTTGCTTAGATGAAGGACGCGTGCCTCTTCCCTTGGAAAATTAATGTGTGAGGGAGGGAAGGAGCTGGCAGCCTGGGTGGGATGTGTTGGTCAGCGCTGGAAGGCAGAAGTCTGGGTGCTGATTAATGCTAGGATGGGGAAACACATACTCAAGTTAACTCGAGCAGTGCTGATCTTGCGCAGAGCTGATCTTCAGCTAATCTGAAGCCTGTTTCTAGAGCCCTCATGAAGTGTTGGGTGCCTAACAGCTGGGAACTGCTGGACAAATGAGTGGGAACGCCTCCTTTACACAAAACCCTTTTCCAAGTGCGGTAGCACAGTCCAGCCAGGTGAGGGCCTTAGGGCTTCCTAGGAGCAACCCAAATCCCTAAATAACCTCAAGTCAGCCTCCCTCCAAGGAAATATTTCTCCCTGGACCTCTGGAAAGGGCAGAAGACATCCATCATTTATACACAATGTACTGCTGAATTCACCTGCCCATTCCTCTGAAACTAGGTGTACTTAATGGCAAACACCTGTATTCAATTTTCTTTAGAAATGTTATTGAAATTCCAAGTAGGATCCAAAAATGGAATATAGCTTAGAAGTTTGAAAATCGATTTTGAAAATGTGACGTCAGATTGGATGCAGACTTAATCCCCAGGTGTCATAAAAGATGAAATGTGGTCCTGCTCCAAGAGACACCAAGACTAAGAGCCCACTCCAGACTAGTGTGACTTGTGCACCTTCCTCTGGAAACACCGAAGAGCAACACTCAAGTGTGATGTTGGCCTGGTACTAAGTCTACCACATACCTGCCAGGGTTTTGGTAGCCTTAAAAATGGGGTGCAAGTCCAGGTGGGGTTAGGAGTGGAGAAAAAGCCAGTTGGAGTGGGACTGCCAAAGCCAGGCAGCCAGGAGAAAAAAAGAAAAAAACAAAAAATTAGCAGGGAACCTGTTAAATAAAGACACAGCTGCAGGTCTTGGGCTAAGAATCAACCAACAGTTAGGTAAAGCTTACAGTTACAGTTAGAGTTAAGGTTGAGAGGGACAAAACACGGGGCTTCAGCTGAAGGGGGGCTGTAAAGGGGCGGCCAGCAGGGCTGGAACATCTCTGCAATTTGATGAGGCACAAAGAAGATACGGTAAGCACGCTGCTCAGCACCAGTTGGCCAAAGTAGCTATTACAACCATCACCAACTTCTCCAGCTGCAAGTCTCAAGCCCTGAGGCAGTGTTAACAGTGCAGCAAAAGCACTTTTTCTCACTTTTAGAATACCAGCCTGTGCACAGCAAGTGTTTGTTTCATTCTTGTAATTAGAGAGCTGCCTAGTTCATCTCAGGACTCTCATGGACTCGGTCAGAAAGGGGAATGTATTCTGCCAAGCTTGCCAGCTCTTTTATATTTTTAATACGCTCTAATTATGCAGTGTGTGGCTGAAACATCTACAAAACAGACTCTGACATGATACATTATTTAGTGTGTATTTCTCACCATGCTTAACTAGCCGTAGGTCACAACAATTTAAATCAAGTTGGGGTTTTCATTTCTAGCTCTAAGTTAAAAGATGTTATCTGACAACTGCAACAGGAAGCAGGGGCTCCGAGTTGAAGTGCTCGATTTAAAACAAAATGTCTTGTTACAAATAAAGCTAGCCATTCTGTGAAGTTTCTTACACCCTGGTAGGAACTGGTTAAGCTGCAGTGTTCAGACCAAAGGTCAGATTTTGTGTTTCCATAAAGAACAACCTTAATTTTTATATCTCTTTAAATGGAGGTGAGTAATTTTTTTTTTCTTTTGCTGAGCTTGTATGTAAGAACTTGTCCGGATGTGGCAGTAATGCAAAGCAAAGCAGCATGTGAATTAAAAGTGGAGGAGGAAATCTACTCCAAAAATAATGTCACACACAGCCAGTCCTACCTTAATGTGTTTCATGGGTTAGTCCATTCCAATTTCCAAGAGCCTCAGGAACAGCATGGTCTGAATTGCTGTGTCAGGGTAATTCCAGGCATAGCATTGCTGCCTTATTCCTCATAACCTTTAAAAAAAATAAAAAATAATAAAAAAATCCACACACAGCTTGTAAACATCGAACAGAAGCAGTAACCAGAAATCCCTGGTGTTGATTGCAGTTGGAAATGGAGGCGATGCAGCGTCCCCCTGCCTGCCACCCCATGCACAGGGGCAGCCCAGGAGTGCTGGGCAGGGCTCCAACAAACAGCACCCACTGGGGCCAGGCCAGGCGCCTGTTAAACATTGCTGGAGCTCTTCACGCGCTCCTGCAGTGGTGAAAGGGTAACCCAGGTGAGCTGGCACAGAGGTACTCAGCTCCCCAGCTCCATGTGCAGCCTCATGGGGTGAAGCCACTCAAAAATGTTCAAAGCATCAGCCTCAAAGCACGAAGGAGGTAAATGTTTCTGGCCAGCTATTACAGCTCGCCCTGGGCTGTGCGGGTCCTGGTGTACAGACAGCTCGCTGTGACTCCCTGGGCTATTGCAGTGGCTATTAATAAACACAGCAACTTTTTTTGGTGCCTGACAAGGCAAGCAGCTGGGGAACAGTGCTGACAGACCAGCCTGAGCCCAACCAAGCACAGCTTACGCCAGTGCTATCCAAAAGGCCCATCAGGCTGCATACAGGCAGGCCCACGGCCCAGGCCAGCCCTGCCACTATTTCATCTGCACCCAGCTGCTGCTACGCATATCTAAGTCCGATCTGCTTGTAACTTCTGTCCCCAGCACGCTGGGTTTTGGGTGGACGTCAAGGGATCGATTTACCCTGCGTCCTCCCCCCTCTCCAGCTGTGGCCAGGCAGGAGCTGCTTCAAACATTTAGCACCGCTCGGCACCTGCCCCGGCCCCTGGCAAATATTTAACACCACCCCGTGCCCAGTCCTGCCTGCGTCAACAGCTCGTAAGTCGGGGATTTACAGCCAGGAGCTGCCGCCAGAGAGGCTGGGAGGAAAGCAGCACCACGGGAGCTCGCCCACCACAAACGCCAGCAAAGGTGCAGCCCCTGAGGAGCAGAGCATGGCCTGAGGGACGGGCGATCCTCCTCACAGGAAAATTGTGTTTAAAAAGAAAACCCCCACAATAACAAAGCCCCTACCTCTTCAGAGATGCTGTTCCTGTAGCAGGCAGGCACAGCAACAAGCCCCTGGCCCCCAGCCCACGCTACTTGCTGAGGCACCAGAGGTGCCCCATGGGGCCGGCCTGTGCTCCCAGCACGGGAGGAAAGCCTTCAGAAAGACCCTTTAAATCCAGGAGAGCTCAGCAGCAGGTGGCGATAACCTCTGAGAGCCCTTAATTAATTGTGTTTGCACAGCCTGCTGGGGCCCAGCACGGTGCCCGCAGCTGGTGGCACGGCTCTGCTGCTCATGGGGAAAGCTCCAGCCCATGTTGTTCCTACCGCAGGTAGTGGGGAGAGCTCAACCACGGGAGCCCGAGGATGGTTGAAAAGCAGCAGCCGAGGCTCTTGCAGCCCCCCTGGCACCCGCAGAGCCCCGTGCCAACCTGTGCCACTGTCCCCAGCCACAAAGTCACTCAGCCATTCTCACCAACCTGACCGTGCTGGCTGTGGGCGGCCAGCACCACGCTTACACCCAGCTGCCCCGGTTCCATTTCAGCAGTAACAACAGCTCCTGCCCTTTGGCACACAAGCACGTGTCTACCTGCCTCGGACAGCAGCTGAGATCAGTTTCAGTGATTAACTGTTTCCAGCAGATCTAAGCAGCCAGAGGACCAAAGAAAAAGAGGCAGCGAGGAATCGCCCATTGGCGGCCTGGTGCTGGCTGCACGCAATCTAGCAGCTGTGCTCGGGCAGCTCACAGACCCCAAGAAGTCTGGGTAAAGGCCAAACCACACACGCTGGGAGTCTCATTTTCCCCATACTGCCCCAGCAGCACAGAGGAATTTCCTCCCTCCTCCAGATTTGGGGCTGGGAAAAGCTCAGCTTTCAGGGGGTAAGCGATGGGTCTGGAGAGAGCTGGCTCCCTGCCTGCTGAACCCCACAAGGCCACAGGAACCACCTTCTACGTCCCAGCAGCGCAGCACCTCTGTGCAAGGGTGAATCTAGCCAGGGGCTTTAAAGAAAGAGCAGCAATTACCTGCGCTTATTTTCTCTGGCTGGGTTTTAACATGTCCAAGTAGGGAGTTCAGTTTCTAAGCCAGAGCATGTGATGCCAGCTCTTCTCTTCCAGACTGCAGTAAATATTCCTTCGACATTTTCCCAGTCTCCCAGCTCAGTAGGGAGGGCCGATGCTTTGCAGAAAAAGGTTGGTTTGGGCACTTCACATTTTTAAAGAGGTTTAATCAATCCCACAGAACAGACATGGCAAAGGCAGGACTGCTGGCACAAGGCCAGCACATCCCCCTTAGTTACTACCAGTCCCCATTGCAGCACCCACTGCTGGCCTCCATCAGGGAGGAAACGCTACGCAGCTTTCTCTGCAGACTGCATTGTGTTCACCTGCTGGAGACCAGACGCAGTCTTCCTCCTCTACAATCACTATGCAGAGGTCCCTCACCCCCCTCACACTGCAGCTGCTGTGAGAACAAATACAAGACAAGGTGAATTGGTGTCAGATTTTTATTTCTTTGTACTCTTTAAACAGGAGTGACTGAAATAGAAACCATGTTTGAGTCCCATCAGGGGGAATGACTTGAGAAAGACAGGGCAGGCGGTTGCCCCTGCACCATGCCAACCTGTATAAATATCTGTCACTTTTTAGTAACTAGACAGTTTTCATACAAGTCCATGAATGGTCATAGATAACATATTATAACATGCCAGTTCACAACAAGAAATAACTTATGTGTACTTCTTGATTTCATCATACAGAACTAAGACAAAAGCACCACCCATTCCTCGGAGTACATTCGACCATGCACCTTTGAAAAATGCCTTGGAACCCTCATCTCGGGCAATCTTCCGCCAGCAGTCGATAGTGCCGGTGTACATTATGTCAGCTGCAGGAAACACACAGCGTTAGGAATCAGGTGCCCATGACCCCCAAAATCCAAGTCAAAGAGGCCTAATGTATCTGACAGTTTTACAACCTCAAGTACATTCCATTTCTTGACTTACTTTCCCCAGTACTATCATGTTAGAGAAGGAGATGGCCCAGGAGATATGCTGTTGCTGCTGGATTACCCCCAGGAGACACTGGAAGGACTGGTTTGAGCAGAAGGCAGCTACTGTTTGCTAGACACCAGCACTTCCACAACCAAAAGCTACTGCAGGCAGCCAGGCTGAGCTTGCAAGTAGGGACGTTGCTTCCTGGCCCAGAGACACCAGTTTGCAACATCCTTGGACAAGCTCTGCCCTCCCTACATACTGAAATAAACCTGACTTGTGCATGCCACTTTACAGGAATGCTGCACAGACTGATCTGTCTGCAGGCAGATCTGCCTGACAGCTACTTCTGCAGTCCCTCCTTTAAACTGCAGGGTATGTGAGGACATCGACAGGTTTTGGCAAAAGCCAAAACGCTCTGTCTTCACCTCAGATCCACCATCAACTGTTGATTCTGTTATGCCTAGCATTTCCCAACACAAGGAGGTAGAAACTTACTTCCTTTACGCCCAGACTGCATCATCATGCGACGACGAACCGTATCAAAAGGATAGGAGGTCAAACCGGCAACAGCGGTGACCGTCTGAGCGATCATCCAGCTCACAACGATGTGGGTGTTCTTTGGGTCAGGAAGCATTCCTGCAGAAGAGAGGTTTGGCGTGAGAACAGCAGGTGAGCCACCAGCACACACACGGCAGGTCTGCTGCAGGCCTGCAACTCCATTTTAGCACGATTTCACTCCACCTACCCTTTGCAGTGTCATAGATGCCAAAGTAAGCAGCTCTGTAGATAATGATGCCCTGGACGGACACGTTGAAGCCTTGGTAAAGGCCCCTGAGGCCATCCGACCGGAAGATTTTCACCAGGCAGTCACCAAGCCCGCTGAACTCTCGGTCGGCCCCAGCTTTACCCACATCGGCTGCCAGGCGGGTTCGGGCAAAGTCAAGGGGGTAGACGAAGCAGAGGGAGGTAGCGCCGGCGGCGCCCCCGGATGCCAGGTTACCGGCAAAGTACCGCCAGAACTGGGTCCGCTTGTCCACGCCACCCAGAAAGATCTGCTTGTACTTGTCCTTGAAGGCGAAGTTAAGCGCCTGGGTGGGGAAGTACCGGATCACGTTGGCCAGGTTGCCGCGCCAGAAGGAAAGGACGCCCTGCTCCCTCGGGATGCGCACCACGCAGTCGATGATGCCCTTGTACTGCTTGTCGGCGGCGATCTGCTTGCTGGCGTGCTGCACCTGCGGGGGCCGACACACGGCCGTCAGCTCCGCTCCCCGCGCCCACCCGCCGCCCCCCTCCCCATCTCCTTGCGGCGACCTTGGGGCGGCCGCGGCCCCCATCACCGCCGCTCACCTGCAGCAGCAGCTTGACCCTCTCGATGGGGGCGACGGCCGTCTTGGAGATGGCTGCCGCCACCCCTCCGGCGAGGAAATCCTTCAGGAAGGACACGGCCGCATCTGCCATGGCGGGAGGCGGCGAGGCGAGGCCGGGCGAGGCGCGGGCGGGAGGCGGCGCTGCGGCGGTAGCGGGGCGCGCTGCCGAAATGGCCGCCTTATATAGGGGCGGCGGCGGACACGTGGGCGGTGGCGCGCCACAGCGCCGCGTCCCGCCCGCCCATTGGCGGAGAGCGGGGGGCGGGACCGCCGCAGCGGGGCGGGGCCGGCGCGGCAGCCAATGAGAGGCGGGGCTCATTGGAGCGTGCGGGAAGCGCCGCGGCCGGCCGGGGGCAGCGGGCAGGGCCGGGCCGGCAGCGGGAGGCTCCGCAGCTGCAGTCCCGGCTCGGTGCTGGCCGAGCCCCAGGGGCACGCACACAACTGCACCCGAGTTACAGGGCGCACACCTCAGCTGAGCCTGCAGGTCAGCCCTGCTGCCAGCTTCGTGCTTATCCTGCGCCATTCCCCATGGATTGGCCGCTGGGGCACCTCGCCGCAGCGCTGGGGCTCTCCCTGGCACCTTCTGGGGGATTTGTCACCAGTAGATGGGACTGCACAGTGCAGATCTTTGCTGATAAAAGGTTGATAAGTGATTCATAGCTCTTCAGAGTACAAAGGGGCTATTGGCATGTCGGAAGCAAGTTAGAGGTAACTTTGACTCTGATGAGGCTGGAAGAGCTGATCAGACATTCATATGCACCCATCACTCAATCTTTAAGAAATACAGTGGTAAAAATACACATATACACACATATAAAAGTATACTTGGAAGAGGTAAGGGCACTCTTAAAAAATGAGCTCCCCCCAGCTCACTCACAAGTCACATCTCCTTATTCACACACCCCAAATAAATCTCGGTATTATTGCCTACGCTGTGCAGGTAGGGGAACTGAGGCACGGATAGACACATCCACCAGGCAGGCTGATGAGAGCCAGAAGTACTTACAGCCTCAGTGTGATGCAGGTCTGCTCGCTAACATCTTGTTTTTTGCCATCCTGGTCTGCATTTCTCTCTGAGAAGAAGGCCAGAACACTACACCACCGTAGCACAACTGAGCAAGTCCATTACTGGTGACACTGCAAGACCTCAGCTGCAGGGTACAGCAGTGCGAGTTAGGCACAAGGCTGGTCGTACAAACATCCCTGATCTTCCTACAAATCTCTCCCCACACTGACAACCTGTCCCTGTGCTGATCTGCCACTGCCTCACCCTGCTTTGACCTGGCGTAACCGAGCTGTTTGTAAGATTTACTTATTTCCACTCAGCAGGGACACACGTGGTTCAAAAACACACGAGGAGCTGGGGAAACCAGGCAGTGCTGCAGCTAGGGCAGGAGAACAGCGGGTGCACGTGCCCTAGAGCTGCAGTGATTCACAGCTTGCTGCAGCCTGAGGCCAGTGGGACATACCACAGAGTGCATGGCCACCTTACCTTGTGGACACAGGCTTTAAGGTTTTCTCTAGGAAGGTGCCTTTCAATTGCATTTGCAATGGCAATAACCCAGGGGTGTTGCAGAGAGTCTCCTACCTAAGGACGTGCTGTGGCTCCTAGGCTGCAGTAGTTCAGGTGGGAAAGTCACAGTGCTATTCTGCAGGCATGTTCTGAGCAGCACAGTAGGCCTGGGGCTGTGCACAGGAACTGGAAAGTAGTTTAATATAAAAATAGAGCTTTAGGAATGCTGAAAAACATCACAAGGCTCGTGGCTCTCAAACATCTAACAAATATAAGGACTGCATTTTTCAGGAAAAATTTCAGAGAATTTCAGGAAAACTTTTTTTTTCTAAGCCTGAAATAATTCACGTACATGCAGTAACAACACAGGAGAAATGGGGAAAGGTTTTCTAGTATGCACTTAAGTTTGTAAGATTGTCATTCCAGTGTAATACGGTCTGTTAGCAAGAACACGGTTGCAGCAGCATATTTTCATTGTTATGCCAAAGACTTGTACAAAAGTATTATTCTCAAGTAAGTCTCAAAAACTGAAGAGCGGATTCTGGAGTGTGAATGAACCCGGACTAATTCTGCATCTTCAGAACGCCATGTCCACACATCATCGCTTAAAAAAAAAATATTCCAGTAGAAATGCTTGCATGTTGTACATAGTCTATAGTCTGTTCATCATTTTCTGATGACTTGCTATCTCAGGTTACTTCAAAAAATCCATTTGAATTTTCTCAATATTCTGAAGATGCAGCTTGTACTCATCTAATTTCTCATGCTCTCTGTAAGTGGTTTTATCTTAGAATGGCTATTCAACATTGAAAAGCACCTAGTATATTATCAGTTCAAGTTGCAGTAGCATAGTGTTTTCAAACTAGTTGCATCTCTCCTCTTCAGTGTGCGCTTGATATTCATATTGTTTGTATCCATTCAGGAAATGAGACACAAGATTTAGGCATCCCTCACACTGGTATCTCAATCCTAAAACCACACAATCTGGTGAGATGCTGGTACCTGTAGCTTAGCATGTCTTTCTTGCAAAGTTT